TTAAGGCAGAAGACATAGAGAAAACTGCATTCAGAACTAGATACGAACACTATGAATTTTTGGTAATGCCGTTTGGGGTGACTAATGCACCTACTATCTTTATGGACCTTATGAACAAGGTGTTTTTTACAAAACCAATTACATTCTCTTCATTTTACAAAATCATTTCCATGGATAATAAGCTATAACCCAACTTGATTCATTACGTTCATTTCAAAATAACTCCAATACCATAATTAATCCTTTAATTGTTAACACCTTCTACACAACTCATATTAATAATAGAAATTTACCAACATTGTTCAACCATAAACCCTTTTTATTTACCGAATCAAAATATAATTTAGGGTTTTCTCTTCTTTTAATAATAACATGCTAATTTTACTCTCTGATTAGTCCAAACCACAGTCAGTGATAACAAAACCATTCTCAAACAACCAACCCTAGGTTCCCCTCATGATTTTCAAACAAATCCAACACGGATATGATTTTCATGCAATACAAAATTACCACATGTCTATCTATAGACGGAGTATTGAAAAAGAACAAAGAAATCCCTACCTCAAATGGAGAAGATGAAGGCCAAAAACCAAAGTGCTCCAAATTGCCAAACTTTCAGATTAAATGAAGATCAAGGGAAGCTCCACACTCAATACAAAGGAACTAGGGTAGAAGATCACTAGAACTAGATGTATTTATAGAGAGAAGATGTAGTCTAGAGAGAGAAACTCTCAAGTTATTCATTCAATGAACTTCATTAAATTGATTAATGTATCTCATACATTCATGATACATAATGCATCTTCTATATTAATGAATTCATTAGATAGATTAATGTATCTTACATATTCATAATAGATACATAATGCATCTCTAAGATTCATTCATAATAAATCCATCACATTCAATGTATTAGCATTAGTCTTCTATACATTGTATAAATAGGTATCAATGATTAGTCACCATCTAATTGATGTACATGTATCTTACTAATGAGATGAATCTAGTATAATCATGCATAATCTTTGAAAAGTTGTCATATATTACAATTAAACAATGAAAGTAAAATCGGGATCGCTATAGATATGAGATTGTGTTGTGGCAAAAATGGTTGATTTGGACACTTGGGCTGATATTTGAAAAAATGGGAGTTTTGCCCTAAATGGGTCAAATTGTTATTTTGTATAAATAAGCGAAATTGATATTATTAAGGTGAAATTGGATGGTTGTTAATATAAATGGTGGAGTTGGATATGTATTATCTCACTTCTATGGGAAATTTAATAAATTATCTATCTTGAGATTGAATATCTGTATTGGGCTATCGGTGGAGGATAGTTATGATTGTTTTAGAAATTGCATGAGGATTAAGTGAATTGAAACTAATCACATAATTGTTGTCATTGAACATGACAGTATTTTAATACATTGCATATGTATGATGGTTGTCATTGAATATGATAGTGTTTTAAATACATTATATATGTATGATGTTTGTGAGGAGAAAGGACATGTACTCCATATTGGGAGGAGATAGGAGATGGACTCCATTGAAATTAAGTTGGCCAGAGTGTCCTGGGTGAAAGTCCCGAAACAGCGTGTATACATGGGTGCCGATCCTGCGGACGAAATTTTCGTAAAATGGCAAATTGAAGTGTTTGTGTGATAGTTGTGTTGATTTGAGGCCATTGAGTTGTAGTCTCAGTTGGGTTGCCCGGAAGATAATGAATTTGGCTTATGAATTGAGATGAAATGAATTAACTTGAAATCAACTAAGAAAAAAAGGGATTGAGATATGAAATTTGGTAAAATATAACTGTTTTGCCACCGGCTTTGTATATACACATTGTACATATATCTTTGTTAAGAGGCATATACTTTGTTAGATTGTTTCTACTGGACTTTGGCTCACCCTATTTGGGAAAACCATTTCAGGTGTTGGTGATATGCCTCTGCCAAGGCAATAGCTTGGAGGGACTTTTGGAGCAAGAGCTTCTTTCTTTTTGTATAGCCACACTACGCCAAAACAGGGCATTAACAGCGGTTTTTTTAACGGCGGTAACGAAAACCGCCGTTAATACCGCCGTTTATTTTATTTTAATTAACATATTAATCTAATTTTGGATTTGGAGAAAATGGGGGTAAAATCGTCCATTTGTTGTTTTAACGGCGGTAACGAAACCGCCGTTAATGCCCACTTTTAACGGCGGTAACAAAATCGCCGCTAATGCCCAATCATTACCGCCGTTAATGACGGCGGTCTTTGCCGGCGGAGCTCCGGCGAGCTCCGGCAAAACCATCTACAATAAAGTAAAAGTAATGTTTAAATATTTATTTAGGGAATATATTTCATGAAGAGTGGCTATGGCAGAGTGGTTGGTGTTGGTGGATGAGAGGTCTTGGGTTCAAAACTTGGGGAGTGCAAGAAGAAAGAATTATTTTTTGAAAAATTTGAACCTATTTACGGCGGTAAAAAACCGCCGTTTTTGGTCCTATATTACCGTCGTTTTTGGTCGACTTTTAACGACGGTAATTTGCCTTTTTACAACGGTTTCACTTTTTCCGACACACGCATAAACGGCGGTAACGAAACCGCCGTTAATACCGCCGTTAAAGGCTTTAACGGCGGTTTTACAGCCTTTAACGGCGGTAAAAAACCGCCGCTAAAGCTCAATTTTGACGTAGTGCCAAGGGCTTTAATTGTATTGAGCTAGATTCACTTTTGTTGTAACCAAGCAATGACTTAGAAAGATGTAAGTCTTTAGGGCACATAATTATCTGTTTAGTTTTTGGTTCTTTTATCATTGCAACATATGCTGTAGATTCAGGATAAACAATTTGTGAATGTATATCACATGTGTTATCTTTTGTATACGAACTCTAATGAATGAAAGTATATTATGTCCATTATTCTTCCGTTTAAGAGTTGGATTTATCGCATTATTTTGGGGGCGTTACAACCTTATTCATATTTTATCATTAATTTATATTGAGTTTTCTATTTAAGATAAAGTTGTTTATTAGGAAAGATTTATATTAAATTTAAATTTTATATTCATATATATAATTATATACAATGTCTATAAACAGTTTAAAGATGATATTAAGAAAACATCAATACTCAAAATAATTAATCTATCTTTTTTTTTCTTAATCTAACCACAACATACTTATATTTAAATTTTTAAAGTAAATTGTCTATAACTTCCATTTCTACATATTGTTATCCAAATGAATAAAAAAAATTAAATAATTAGAAACATTGTTAATTTTATGTTACTAATTTTTCTTTCAATTTAGCTATTGTTATTAATATCAAAATGAGTGTTTGTTTTACTATATTATAATTTAATATCATATAATATATTTATTTCAGTTACATTTTTATAGTACAATCAATAGGACTAAGATTATTAAATACATATATACTTGAAATAAAATTATTATATATTTATTTTAGTAAAACTTTTATAGAACAATATGGCTAAAATTATCAAAATAAATAATTAGAATCATTATTTAAAATTAAATGACTTTTTTCTCCAATTTAATCGTTATTTTTAATGTTAAAATGAATATTTATTTTATTATATTGTAATTTAGTACAAAATTTCGTAATATATTTTTGAGCAAAATCCATTTTACCTTCCTGTCATATGCCTTAATAGTATTTTACCTCACTATCTTTTAAAAATATTCATATGCCCTCATGTGATTTTGGATTAAAATGTAACAGTTAACAACATTAACTATAGACATGAAATGACTATAATACCCTTAAACCCTATATGTTTTGTTATTTTCTTTCTCTCTCA